AGCATACTCCTGTCACTTCTAAAACTCTGCTTCCGCTGAGATTCTGTAGCACAGAAAGTAAGAAAGTTGAGCTTTCTGAAGGAAATATTAAGTTTCTGTTGCATGGTATTTTGGCAAAAATGGTCCTCAACTTTTGATTTCATAAAGTACAAAAGAAGTCAGGCTTGGGAAAAAAGAAAAGAGTTGAAAATCTTCTTGTGGATTTTTTCCAGCCAGTTTTATTAATTACACCTTCTCAGCAGGTTAAACCAGCAGGCTATTAAAATTGCTGCAAGGCAGAATAGGTAAGCAGCAGCATGGGTCTCAGCCTAGTAAGATTAATGTCCTGAGTTCCTCAGAAGACACCACTTCAGCTGTAGCAGCAATTCTTCCCACTTTTTTTAGTTTCTCTCTCTCTCTCTCTTTTGTATCTCTGAACCCTCTGTGATTGCAGTTTGCTTCAGGATAAGACTGGATCTTTGTCAAAATCAGTTAAATGACAGACAAGCCAGAGAGAAAATGAGAAAGAAAACATTCTGATAAGTGATTCTGACCTCAGCGCGTAACTTGGGTTATGTTCATTTTGTCAGGTAAACCGTCAGTACCACTTTCCAGTGCAAGAGCTCAGTGATGTATTGCATGGTGTGATCAAATACTTCTTCCCTGATTCTCAAACCAGTCTTTCTCGTACAGGCTGGTGACTGATAGTGGTAGTACTGCAAATGCATCAGTTGTGAGCAGACCTCTCCTCTTCTTTAGCCTTCCTGTCATTGCCTCCTCTTCTGTATCTCCATTAGTACTGACAATGATGAATAAAACTGGAATTTGTTCCAAAATTTTGAGTGGTTCCTCATTCCACTCCCACTGCTTCAACAATTTCTGTCCTTTAACAAAGGCTGAGTGTGCTCTGTTCCAGCTCCTTCTGAAAGGAGATGATGGGTGCATCTACATAGCATTTTAGTGCAGATCAGGACTGTGCTTGTGAAGTGAATCATTTGATCATTCCCACTTACTGTGCTTTGGTTCACATCTCAGAGCAGTCTCAGAGTACATGGACTCGACACGTTTCATATGAAACTAAGGTGGAAAATGCACCCCAGTAGCACACTAAATGTGGTCCAACCACTAATGAGCATCTAGTCTATGGGACCAGATTACAACTTTTCCTAAGGGGAAAAAAGACCCAACAAAATGTGTATGGCATGGACATCAGGTCCTTAGTCACAGCAGTTTTGCTCTAGAGACCAGCCTCGGTGCTTGCTAACCCAGACATAGCTGATGAATCCATTGTAACCCCACTCACCCCAAAGACTTCTTTCACCTGTAGGCTTGGCAGGTGTGTTCTTCCACTTGTGTTTCCATCAGCCCAAGGACAGTCCTTTTGCTCCTTCACATATAATGCTGCCTTTGCAGTTTAGACCTACCTACTTTTGAAGTGGCCTTTACAATATTGGCAACGCTAAGGAAGAAAAGAATATCGCTGTGCTTACCTTATTGAACAAATTTGATCAGGAGCATAGATCTTAACTGTCCAATGGCTCAGAGGCTGGAACATTCACCAAAGTAGTAGAAATAGCGATGACTTTTAGTCGCTGAACTACAACATTTGAAGTCTCACCTTTTACAGGGATAATTTTACTGGGACAGATTGTAGGTTGGAAAAAGAGCAAGAGTGAGGATGAGCAATAATGGAGGCAGCTAAGGGGAGCAGAGAATCGGGTTCTGTTCCTTACAGCACTGAACGCTGATTTATTTTATCCAGTAATGAATTCACAGAGTCATGTTAACTCTTTCCCTCTCTCTCCTACTTAAGTATTTGCTGAAAAGTGGAACATGTCAAACAACAGAGATGAAAACCTTACCCCGAGGTCCTGTAGTCTGGGCTGATCTCAGGAGATACATCCTTGGAATTTTCTTGTATTGAAAACCTGCAGGTTCTGACTGGGTGCTTTGCTTTAGTGAATAAAAGTGCCCAGAATTGTTCCTGCCATGCCTTGAAATAACCTGTTTGCTTTTTGAAAGGAGACGTTTAGAAGCCTCATTCCAAGAGAAAAATCAAGGTGGCGAATTTTGGGGCAGGACAAGGAGTCTATTTCTGTGCCCATTTTTTCCCTATTGGCCACATTAAACAGCTCCCCAAAAGTCTTTGCTTCAATTATTTCCTTAAACACTCTGCACTGTGCAGGGCTTTGCTGGGTCTTACCTCCAGACCATTACCACAGAAGCTTTGTTCTGAGTCTTTGCTGCGGACAAAACCCAAAGGGCCATTTTCACTGTAAATGCCACATTTCTCAGAAGTCGAGATGATTTTTACCTTTCACGAAATTCGTTGATCATTTATAATTTTTAATGTCTTTCTGTTACTGCTAAGCCTAAATGAATCCGAAGTCCCAAGGAACAAATGCTCCATAACCCCCTAGCTACTTCCTTGTCCCATCAGCTCCAGCCTGGATTATCTTTAAATTACCCACAACTAAATGGAAATGGTTGCTCTGAAAGATCAAGAAGAAAAATACTTAAATGAAGTGATAAAATATGACAGACTTTCCAGCACTGTTGATTCATTCCCACCTCAGATGTGTTTCCAAAGTACCAGGATAGTGCGTTAATCAGCAGTAGTGTTCTCTAAAATATTTTATTTCTGTTATAAAACCGACAATCTATTTAAGAAAAGTTATTAGTGCTTAAATGTGCTTTTAAACCACGTTAAATTCTTCACAAGAAATATTTCTTCAATGTTAATACTTTCTTTCAGCACTTAGGGTAAGAGAACTGGGTTGGTACCCTTCCCTAAATTCACTTTCTCTGAAGTCTTTGAAGGAACTAGTCTTCAATACTGCCCATCCGTAGCATTAAGAGCCCCTGCCCCCCAGGATCCAGGGCCTTCAAATCACTTTTATATATATATAAAAATTATTTGACTTTTCATTTTTGAGCCCTTGAGTCATGCATGCTTCATATCACAATTCTCAGGCTTTCATCATAAGCCTTATTAGTTTTTAAATGAAAGCTAAGATTTTCACTTACTTTATAATCATAGTAATTATGGCACTATTAAAAAATCCAAATATTGCAAGACTTAAAATGAAATCACAAGATTTGGCAACACTCAGTTTCTCTATGTTTTTCCTCATTGCCCATAGGGTTTTACATTGTTTTTAAAACTGAGCCTGTTCCTTCTTTTATTGGAGCTTTATTATTAACTGCAACAGCAACAAGGTCAGGATGTATGCCATAGATTGCACTTGTCTTTCTTGTCAAGAATTTTTTGAGGAGAGATGAAAAGCCATCCATGCTTTCTCACCTGTGCACAACCCCAGAGTATTCCTCAAGTGTACATCCTTTTCCTAGCAGTTTCTGTAAGGGAAGAGGATATGTAGAAGGAAAAACAGGTGGTAAAAGTGCAAAAAAAGACATTGCTTTTCTCCCTTGACTAGTGAAACGCTGTGCTCTGTCATGGACCAGGGGCCACCGACTGCGATGTAACCAGAATCAGGAGCTGGCTAAGAGCCTGTTCACATCGTTGGTAGAGGATGGTGGAGAGGTCCGGCATGAGAAGGAGCTGGCTCTGGAACCAAGGGCAATACAGCCAAGCCAGCGTGCTCCTGTTGTTTCCATGCCAATTAGCCTTGCTGAAAGGACTAAATAACCTGGAAGGAGGTTGACAGTAATAACAACTGGCCGTCTCCACCCCAACCGATGTTTTACACCGATTTAAGAGCACCCACAAGCTCGCAGGCAACGCGGCAGAGAGCCGACAGCTCTCGCCGTACGCCCCGTTGGCGCCAGTGCAGTTCCCCGTCCTTACCGTCCCACGTAGGGTTTGCCTGGCAAAACACGAGGATCTAGGTCTGTGTCGATGGCATCCCCACGGGCGTGCCTGAAGGGACCCTCAGGCCCAGCACCCGTGCAGGCACACCGCACCCCCGGCCCTGGCCCGGACCCCCGCTCCGGCCCGGTGCGGCTCAGGGCAGGGCTCCCCGCCCAGCTCCCCCTCCTGCCCCAGCGGCCTCCCCCCGGGCACCGCTCCCCGGACGCACCGTGGGGCAGGCGGGCGCACTCACCCCCACAGGGAGCCGGCCGAGAGGCGGGGGAGGGCGGCCTGCCCGCGGGCTGAGGCCAG